ACTTAAATAAATTGGATATTGGATATCAGAAATGACAGGTTATCAGATATTACTTATGCAACTGACATGGTGGATCGAATTTTAATTATTTATGGCAGGTTATCAGTTTTGACAGGATCAGTTTTGGGAGGGCCGACAGTATAATAAAACTTACCACAATTGAATAATTATTTCGTGAAATGTCCTCTTTGCAATTAGCATGTTGCAAACCAATTACTATCTCATATTTAGTTCTAAGTTTACCATATTTCTGGATTTTGTTATTTGTTATCTGGATTTTTTATTTGATATTAGTCTTTATCTTAAATATACCACAGATTTTAAATATATATTTACCTTAATATGGCTAAAAACTAAATTGAATGTAGTTGCATAGTATTGCTTGATTTTTTGTGTTTTAGTTTTTGTCATCACATTTTCTTTAGACAATGAATATAATTTTTCATCGTTAATTGGAGAGCTAAAAACATGCTTTAGTGACCAAGTCCAAGGCTCTTTTAAAAAGATCTCAAAAATCTTTTAATTATATTTAGCGTAATATTGCAAATATGCAAATCGTGTTCACATTGTTACTTGGTTTATTAAATTTACATATGGATTTTGCTAAGAGCGAACTAGAGGAATTAACATTCTACATAACCTTTTCATTAAAAATTGCCATATTGCCCATGGTGGATCTGTTTCAAAAATTGATTCTGCGATATGCAGAAGGTAATGAAAACTGATAAGTGTTGCTTGAAGATGTTCGAGATCTCTTTGGTAATATTTTCTATATCATAATTATATATTAAAATCTAGTAAATTATTAATTGAATTTATTTGTTACCATTTAAATGAAAATTTTTTAACTAGAATCTGAAAAAAATAGTATTTATCTCTTGTTGTATTAAAGCCAATCTTGAAAACCTTCTCAATTGGCTTTAATATAACAAAAGAAACTTTCATATGATAATTGTAAAAATTTATCATAATTAACATGCAAGTTTTTTTTTTTATTTTATTTTTTATTTTTTTTTCTTCTTGGCAACCTTGCCGGTAATCCTTTATTAAGATTATTATATCAAACTAGTTACATAATGTTGAGCTGAATATTTAGGCCTGATATCCTTCAGCTGTCTTTATGGATGCCCAAAAGTAGTCTGCTGCACTAGGTAGAGGTTTATAGTCTCTGTCTAGAAGGCTTTTACCAAGTTGCCTCAGAAGCCTTATAGACCTCGAAGAGGTTTTGATTTAGTTTTGTTGAGTCAAGTTTACCTGAATACCCTTCTGCTATGCTATTACCTAATTCTAATCTATCTAATCCTAATTCTATTTGGCTATCTAAAATATCTTTCTTCTGTAAAAACACTATACTATCTATTTCTAAGCTAATATTTTTTCTTTTCTTTTTCTATTTTACTTTATGTTTTTCCACAGGTAACTTGACTCTTAACCTTTCAATGCTTCTCTTTTCTTCCCCATAGTCTTCTTTGTTAGTTGTTAATGGTTCTTTACTCTGTAATTGAGTTTTCTTCTTTACTTTTTTCTTTCTACTTATCTAGTTTGTTCTAGTCTTCTTACTTCTTCTTGTTTGGATTAGAAATTCTCCTAAACTTACTAAAATCTTCTTTAGATGTTTCTTCCGTGATATCTTCAAACTGTCTAACATTTGGTTAACATCTTTCTCTTCATTATCTATACTTCTCTTTTTCAATATAACTTGTAGTTGAAGGTAACTTCTTGTTAATTCTTTATAAAGATACTTGAGATTCTCTTTTCTTTCTCTTCTTTGAAGTTCTTCTTGGTTTGATCTTTTTTCTCTAATACCTGTAATTCACTTCTTGTATTGATATAATTTTTTCAGATATTCTTCTAAATAATTGTTAGATAAAGCTTCTTTCTTGTCTGTGGGATTCTTTACTTTATTCTTGTTATATCCTTCTTCCTTTTCTTCTTTAGGAATCATCACTTCGATATTTCTCTTCTTATCTTGGTTTGGTTCTATAATATGTATGTATAATTCTTCAATTTGTTGAAAAGAATCTTCTATTCTTTTTTTTTTGATATGATCTTTGCTCTAAACTTTCTTGTCTACGAGTTTGGATCCATACTTTATCTTGTTCTAATTTCTCTATGTAATCTTCTATCTGCATATCAAATACCTCTGTATTTGTCAAGATTTTTATACTCTCCTTATCTTTTTTTTCATTGTTTTGTATTAGAAAAGATAAATTTTCTTGTCCAAGTTGTTGGATTAAACTTTCTTCTATATCTTTTCTTTTAAGTGCTTGTTGCTCTTCTCTTTTTTTTCTAAGGTTGACTATCCAGTTATTATAAAGCTCCAGTTCTTTTAAATAATCTTCTATTGATTCATTCAATATCTTCGCAGTTTTGTTTTGTTTTCTAAAATTTTCTTTTTTCTCAGTAGCTGAGTTCTTAGATGCCATTCCTCTATTTACATCTAACACATAATCTATAATTAGATTATTTTGTTTACTCCTCAATGTGTATTTCATTTGTGTAACAACAACAAATCTGCAGTACAGGATCAAGTACAATTTTCCAAAAATTGCTTGCAAAGAGCGAAATTTTGTCAGTTCTTTGCCGTTTTTCTTCTTTTTCATCCAAAGCCTTAACATTTTTACCTTTGTCTCCTAAGAGACCAAGTGTTATTTTGTATGTTCTTTCTTTTTACTTAGTACTGCAAACTGTGTTTTCTTTAGTGTGTATTTTGTTGATTTTTTGTTTATGCCGAATTTGTGTTCAAAGGATCAGTGCATGCAAGTTTTTTCAATTATTTATAATTGATTAATTTTTAATATAATGAATCAAATAAAACTAAATAAGAAAATATTGTGGCGAATTTATGAAAACTAAGTATTTTGACTAGTTATAAAATGCACTATTTACTATTTATTTTGACATTCTTATTGTAAAATTATATAGATAGTGTTAAACCCGTCTCTCAGTGAAAAGATGAGTTTGACGTTATCTATATAATTTTATAGCAAGAAATATTAGTAAATTTAATTTCATAAATTTACCATGCTTATATAAATACTATTCTACATAATACTTTATGCAATTACCATTCATAGTAATTTATAAAATTAATAAATAACACCTTTATTTCTTTAAGTTCTTCTTTGGAAATTATTGGTTTAAGACATAATTGAACTGCTCTAACAAACTTCGCCTATCTATTTATATATCTGTAATTAAAAAATAAAATAAATAAAATACAAATTTATATAAATAAAATAGTGATATTAAGATAATTAGATACCTTGTTGAAAGACGCTTCAGAAAAAGTAGAAGAAAATATAAAACTGTCTAATTATACTAATCTTCTGCCTTTAAAGCATTATAATATTTCTGAATATTAATCAGAATTCTTCCAAACTCTAATGGCATTGTCTTTTAGTCAAGTTCAATTATTCTCCAAATTTTATTCCACTGATTTGCCAAAATTTTGTATTCTGTGCTGTTAAGTTTTTCATTGTTAAAAAATTTATTAGCAAAATGGCGAAATATATGCTGTGTAGTATTCTCAAAAAGAGTGTGCATAATATCTACTAGAAATGATGCTGAAAAGCTAATTGAGCATAATTCGAATAAAACACTACACCCATTTACACCCATTTCATGTTCTATTTTATGTCGCTCATTTTCACTTTTATTTTCTAATACTTTAATGTTTCAAAGATAACTTGTGTGAGAATATATTAGTAATTTGTTTGGATCATAAATTATACCATAGTATCCTTTGGGTAGTGAAAGTAGAAAATATACATGCTGGGCTATTTCGGAATATACTTCATGAATATGATAAAAGCAGCATCTGCTATAAGCATTGTGGCCAAAGACACATATAATTTAGACAAAGCTAGAATATCTCTAGACTATGATAATATATGTGCTTACAATATAAATGTTTCCTATGATAATGCATCATAATATGGTATATCTCCTATAAAAATTTTTATTTTTTTGTTATAAATTTAAAGTAAGTCTTTTTATATTAATTTTAGGAACTTAATATTTCCATATCTTTTTTTATATTTCTACTGCCTAACCCTATAACTTAAATACTAATAGCACATATACTATAGTAATTTAATAGTTTTTTTAGAGTTTGGGCATAGAAATATAAGAAAATAGCAGATCTATAATTTTATTTATATTATAAAGTTTAAATTTATATAATTAAATTTACCTTCAAGATATTTCAATTTATCTACAAGTAGTTATAAAAAGCTATTAAAGTCTTTTGGCGATTTTGAATCAGATATAATAGTAGCTATTATTAAATTTTCTTTTTTCACCCTTTGATCTGGAGGTAAGTTAGCATTCAAAAGTAAAATAATCCAGCAATCATTTTGCTTCTTTTTAAATAGTTGATAACCATTTGTGGATACAGTTAAAGCAATATCACAGAGATCTGTAAATAAACCTGATGTGACCAAAGTCTTGTATAGGTTGCTATCGAAAACATCTCCAATTACACTATTTTTGAATATATAAAAATTTTTTGATGTTTATTCGTACCGGTATTAAAGAATTTTTATGCATAATAGATCATTAAATTGTATTCATAAGCTATCAATTATGGAAAAATAAGCAGCCGATTTTCTAGCTTTTTGTTGATATTTCTCCAGGTATATATCGTGGTCTACTACAATTAGAATATACTTCACAGTTAATATTTTTTTGGTAAATATGCAGCAAGAATTCCAACACATATCTACAAGTTTTGGCTTGAGTGGAATTAAAGATTTAAAAGTGCTTTGAAGTTTATATAGAGAAACCTTCTGAATTTTAGATATTTTTATAATTTCATTAAACACTTGATCTGGCAAGAAGTATTTATTTTTAATGTATAGAAGCCAAAGTCTCTGAATTAAGTTATCCGATAAGTCTTAAAAAAAAATTCTCATTAATTTTGAATATTTAAAAATAATGGTTGTTTACTAATGAGCTTCTAATTATTTTAATCAAAGATAAATTCAAAACTTGATCGATTAATTACTCTATTACAGAAACATATTTACTGATATCATTTTCTTCTTCTGGTTTATATTCTTGTTCTTCTAGTTTATATTCTTGTTCATCTCTTTCTAATTCAACCTCTAATTCACAAAGATTATTATTTTCTAGACTATTAAAAGCTGTAAAAAACGAAGACTCCTGTTCTCCCATTTTTTCAGAATTATCCAGTTCCAATTCATTCTTTTCAAAGCAATATGATCCCAATTCACTCTCTTCAATATCATCTGATCCTAATTCATTTTCTGACAGACTAAAAATTATCACTGAAGGATTTATTGACATGGACAAAGAATTAAAACTGTGATTTGTTATTTCTGATCTATTACAATGTTCTATATTGTTGCTGTATATATTTAAATTTTGAATATTTATTAATAAAGTGGTAGTAGATGTGTTTCGAAAGTCTTTTTCCTGCCACTGATGCCTCATTCGAGTAGAGATGCTCACATATTTGTCAGCATTATTAGACACTTTTAGACAAAATGAACAAGCACATAATACTTGTTTTCTCATTACTATATTTAAATTATCATAAAAACATCAATTAATATAAGTTTAATGAAATCGTAAAAGGGTCAGTATATAACAGAAGGGGCTTAGGGCAAGTTTTTAATAAATAAATATCAATATTGGATTATTTTGATCTTGGTGAAAATTAGAAAATTAACTTTTAAATTACTTAACTGCATATAAATTATATCAATTATAATATGTTAATATATATGAAGCTTTTTGTCACAAATAGAGAATGTACTTTTAGAGATACAACCAAATGAAATTTTGATTTTGGTAAGAATCCTTCAAAGCTCTTTTTCTCTGTATATTGACTAATATATACATGTATATAACTATAGATCATGTAATTATTGATTAATTATTAATTAACCACAAACTATAAATATCATTAAATTATTATATTTTTAAAAAACAATGTTCTTACAAATAATACTTTTAAATTCTTAACCCTTTATTACAAACAATACTTTTAAATTCTTAATCTAAAAAAATGACCAGTTTTAACAATCTAAATAATACAAATAATCATTTCAACAATAAAGATAATAATAATAATATGAATAGAGAAGCAAATCAAAATATTGTATTATTTCTTCAATTATTATTGAACCCAACTATTTTACAGCAGATGATTGCAGCTATTACTCAAAATAACCAACCCATTGCAGTACCAACTTCTTCTAAGTCTATACAAGCTATTTCTGCATTGTAAAGTGCCATCACAGGGATTGTTAATACATGGTAAGCAGCTTATTAGTTACATTTTAATTTTTTTTAATAAATTCTTATAAAATTTGATTATTTAGTTTTCGTATAGGTTAGCACAAAATTTTATTACCAAAGAAGAGTGGAAACAATGGCAAAAAATTAAAAGGCTAAAAGAAGATTAGAAAGATTTTTTACGTTTGCATCACAATACCTACTGAATATATCAGGCAAGTATTAATATTACATATCATTTCTTTTTATAAATTACTGATCATAACAATTATTTATTATTACATGCAGAGAAACTTGCATGACAGGTTGGCAACAAGTTGCCACAAGGCAAATATGCTTCAAAGCAAGCACTAGGCAAAATTCAGAAAATTATTAATGATGTATATATATATTTATGTATATACAATAATTATTTGTTGCATAAAAACTAATAATTCTGCAATTATAATATATAGTTTAAAAGTGATTTTCCAACCTTTTCTGTTTCCGTTAGTGACTTTGTTTTGTATAAAATATATGAAAATATTATTGGAAATTGGGGTAAATCATTGTATTTTTATTTCAATATTATAATATTATATATTAATATTTGATTTATAGTGGAGACTGAGCATAAGAACAAGATAAAAGAAGCTCATGCTCATGGTATCACTCTACCTCCTAAATGTAAAAATGTTATCTCTCCAACTTCAAGATTTAAGAAAACTACAGTTCAATTATCAGTAACGAATTCTAATATAGCAGAAACCAATGATGAAATTGATACTTTATTAGTAGCATCTAATGAAAATAATTCTTCAAAACACAATAGTATTATCACCACTAATTTCAATAATCCTGAATCACCTACTATTACCTCTCATACAACTAAATCCTCAAGACCTTCAAAAATTTCAATCCAATTGTCAACAAATTCCAACTTAATTAAAGTTAGTAGCTCCAAACTTAATAGTAATGACAATGTATCCGAATCATCTACTAGCCCTCATACAATAAGATCTTCAAAACTACAAGAACGGCAACAAGTTTTAAAGCAATTGAGATTGAAGTTCTGAAGTTGGCAATGATAATAGTGCATCTGAGTTATCTACTACTATCTCTTATACAATTAAATCATTAAAACTTTCAAAAATTCCAACTTGGTTATCAGCAACAAGTTCTCATATGATTAAGGTTTATAGTTCAATTCCAACCCAGTTATTAGCAACCAGTTCTAAAACAATTAAGATCGATAGTTCTAAAGTTAGCGATAATAATAACCTATCCAAATTATTTGCCAGAAGATCTTTAAGAATTTCAATCCAGTCATCAGCAACCAGTCATGCAAAATGGAAATAACACTAGTAAGTATTTTCTATATTTCCTCACCTCCACCAATAATATCACTCTTTTTCTTGCATCTACTATATATTCTATATAAATTAAATACTTCACAATTATAAATATTCAATTTCTACTTTATCTTCATTTCTCTTGTAGCATCTCTTTTTTTTATATCTTAATATATTTGATTTATAATAATACAGTCAGACCTCCCTAAATGCACATCGTCAGAACTGGCTCTAAAGCATGCATTTAGGAAGGGCTGCAATTAGAGAACAGCCAATAAGATCGCTATATATCCACTATCACGTGACATATAATTAGTTACATGTGATTTTTTTTCAGATACTGAATTTTTTGTTTATTACTGTTATAGTTTTGGTATAATATAGATTATATAAATTGATACTATATATATATATTATAACGAATTTATTTTTTATTTTTTTTTATTATTGTAAATAAACTCTTCATTTTTTTGTTAAAATATCCACATGTATATAGCTTAGTATAAGCATAGCCAAAATTCAAAATATATTTAAAGACTGACCATACCAAGTAATAAAGGATAACTTTTTTCATTTCATTATTGATACCATCAAATCTCTTGTTCAACTTCCAACTAAATAAATACTTATCTGAATATTTCCTTGTATATTATCTTTGAATTTGATTTGTAACTTTAATAAACCCCTTTAAAACTCAATTCAACAAACTAATTGACTTGTAACTTCGATTTGGCTTATTAATACTCAGATTCTGGAACGTTGGTAGAATCAGATATTGACATTCATCTTTGAATTCGACTTGTAACTTTAATAAACCCCTTCGAAACTCAATTCGATGAACTGAATTAACTTGTAACTTCAATTCAGCTTATTAAGACTCAGATTCTAAAATATTGGTAGAATCAAATATTACTATTCACCTTAGTGACTTGTGAGAATCACAGTAAAGAATAAGACTTATGATTGGTTATTTAATTCTGGTAGACTTAAAGTTATCTCGACATCACTTGATTATTGTCTGCTTTACTTATTAAGATCTCCCTAACAGTATTACCTGTAGTTGCACTACCCTATTCTCATCTTATTAATATTAAAGCCTTCATTTCAAAATATTATATTCCTTTCATTTCTCCAAGATTATCTTTTATCCCTATACACCATTGGAGTTAAATTGGTCTTTATCCCTATTATTCTTAAGCTCTCCTATTAACGGTTATAGCATACATTTATAATCAGATACGTAACTAATATAAATATTATAGCGATCTTATTGGCTGTTCTCTAATTGCAGCCCTTCCTAAATGCATGCTTTAGAGCCAGTTCTGACGATGTGC